AGGGCTGGATGACTTCAAAGGCTGTAGAGAAGCAACGTTTGGTACTGGTGAAGTTCTGTATCTGCAAGACTTGCTGTAACGGGTGAAAATGAAACAATTATCCTGTAATTGTGCTTTGTAACTGAGATTCTTTTTTTTTTTCAAAGAAAGTGATAACAAGTAAATTCTGGCATAATCTTCATCCTCTGTGAGACTTTTGCTTCTGTACCATGCAGCACTTGTCTCTGGCACTACGGTCCAGCGTTCCCGGCAGCCCTCCCTCTCCACGCTGCCTTCCCCCCTGCAATTCTCCTGCACGTGTTTAGATCCCTTCTGCTGAGCTCTATAAAGCAGAAGGAGAGCGCAGCTCCTTTGATGATCTTGATCTAAATAACAAGTTGTCATCTGAATTAAAAGAGAGAGACTGCAGTGGATGAAAGAGAAGCAATATGCTTATTTTCTGGTCTAGCAGTGCTGTTATTCTACCTGTGTCCCAAGCCCATACACAAATAATTGGGAATTTGCTGTCTTAATGGCTGTTGGGGTTTTTTTATTGTACCTCTGTGGCTGCGTGGGTGAATGTGAAAAGGGTTTTGCACATGTATATATGTATTTTTGGTAGACACTGCACAGCTAAAGCCTCTTTTAATTTTCTCACTAATTTATTTTTAATTTTGTAACCCCCAGGGGTAAAACCTTATTATATGATGTAAAATCATCTCTTCTACCAAGCAGCTTATTTGTTGATTTTTAATTTGAGCCAGCAGAGGCAAAGCTGTAGCATTTTTCCAAACACTGAGAGTTCCTCTAGATATATCTGTCAAGCGTGCGTCCCACTGCAAAATTAGTAAAAAACATAAAACCTAAACCTATCCTTCTGGAAAGGGCAAAGAAAGGGGGCTTGTATTTCTCTGTGTTAACAGTATGTTAGACTTCTGAATCTCAAAACATTCTTAACATGCAATTTGATTTTAAATCTACATTGCATTTGGATTAGACTGAATATGAAAGCTTACATTTTCAAAAGCTCAAACGCTGACAGAAATTAGGGGTTTGTTTTCTGAAAGGGCATCTCCATCAAAAGATGGCAGTGTCTGAAGATGGCATTGCTGTGTGCACTCACATATGCATGTTCACCGACATCAATATGTGCTTTGGCTCACTGGAGATGTTGCCTTTTAGCTAACCTGAACACTTCATGGTTTAATATTTGTTTATATGACTGGCTGGAAGCCTTAGTCACGGTCCTATTGAGATAATAACAAACACACACGACCTGACATAATCTCTCTTCCCTTTACATTCAGTGGGAGAGATGTTTATTTTCAAAACACTGATTATCTCATCCTAAACAATTCACCTGGAATACGTTAGGTGAAAAAAGCCTTAAAAATGCCTTACCAGCTAGTTCAGGTGTAGGCATCTACATTCAGTCCTTCTGGCCTACAAAGCTTACAACTCAAAAGACCTGCATAATTAGTTTGTTTTGAGTTGTCATCAAGGAAAATAAAAAAAACCAGATTGTCTCTTTTTGTTTTGTTCCTAACTAAGTGTGATATTTTTCCCCCCACTTTGTTTTTATGCAAAGGTGATGTTTATTTCTGTTCAGGATGTAGACTTTTGAATGAAGCTCTTGATTCCCTCTGCTTCTCATTTTAGTCTCCCCCAGTTAAGGTAAGGCTTCCCACTTACCTCCCCAACTCCCATTTCCCTTCTCCTTGTCTGAATTCCCTGAGGATGCCATCTGTGATTGCTGGCCAGAGGTCCTGTCCTGCTGGCAGCCCACGCCTTCTCCAGGCTGCCTTCCACTGTTGCTTTCTACTGGGGCACTCTTGCAAAAATGTGACATTTGAATATGGTGGCTTTATTTCAGGCCCATGTCAAAACCAGGATTCCCCCTGCCTCTTCCTTGATTGTCCGTAGCATTGGACCGACACTCACTGCAGATGATCATCTTCTTTCTCCTGCCCTTCTCCCCAGAAAGTCTCCCACTTTAGAAGGGTTTCATTCCTTGCTGAGTTGTGATGACAATGCCAAAGAAATAACAGTCCCCAGATTAACAATGTTAAACATGCATTGCTTTTTGCTCAGATATACCCTCAAATGGGGTCTGTCAGTTCTGCTAATGCTTGTAGATCTGCACAACTGATATGTTAATGACAAACGATAACAATAATGTGGGCAGAGGGACCCTGGTCAGAAGCCAGACCTTTCTTACACACTAAGTAACAGGAGATGCAGCAAGTGAGGGGAAGCGAAGACTAAGTACATTCCACAGAGAAAGTTGCAGCTCCCGCACAAGATTTTTTTCTGGGAACAAATTCTCTATTTTATACATCTCTCTGCTTTCCACTGGGCAAGACGAAGACACTTGCTGTGAAGCTAAACCAGTGTTCATCAGAGCTGTACAGTGCCTGCATAAATTCATTTCAGCGTTGCTTTTTGCTTTGCCCAACCTTCTCAGCTGAAACTGGTCTTTTGCACTTTGGAGTTTCTCAGAGCTGTATATCAAAGATAAAATACCACTTGCCAAATATTTTTCTTATTTCTGTCATTAACAAAGAAAGGATTGAGAAAGCAAAAGAGAGAAGCGTGTATGTCAGTTAAAATTGTAGAAGATTTAATCTCCATCTCTGGAAACTCTGACTTTACCCATTAGTCAGAAGTCATGGCCATACATTCGTTTTTAAAGCTATCTTATTTGGCCACATCTGAGCAGTACAGTGACCTGTGCTTGGAAATTGAAGCTGAAGAAAGCAAGCACTGGCAAACCAAAGACACCAAAAGATCCTTGAGGTGTGTCCTTGCTCAGGCAACCTAATGCCAGTGCAGTTCTTGAGCCTGCTGCTTCCTCCTGCTTTGTAGGTACCACCAAGGTCCTCCTGTAACAAAACCAGATCCAGGTGGGATTTTTGCTATTGGAACAGAGACTGCAGTTTGATGTCTTTGATTTTAAACTTTCTCTTTACAGTTGAAACGAAAAATCACTCTGAAATGTTAACCATGCCATTCCATTGCATTGATGTTTTCCAGTTGGTGTTTTAAAGGTATTGTCTGGGCAGCATAAAAATTAGAGATATATTTTCGGTACCTGGAAAGGACTTATCTGCATGTTTTACACTGATTTTAGTAGGAATTAGGACATCTAATCTCAAATGCTTTTTTGAAAATACCTTCCTAAATGTATTAAAAAATAAGATCTAAAATATTCCTCTTTCTGCATGCTCAAATCATCATAACAAATACATAAATGTAGTCATAATTCATGCCTGAAAGGTGGGATTTTCTTTTTCATGAGTTCTCCTGCGAGTCGATGGTAACAGGAAAGTGTGGCATGGTTTAATGTACTGACTCCTTATTTAGGGTCTTAAGTAATTAGCCTACTCACCACCTTGTTTCTGCTATTTCTCTGCTGCTTACCGAAAGAAGGAGAAAGAGAAAAAGAGAAGGGAGGGAAAGAAGGAAAGCTTTTTAGCATTTACAGTTTTGCACTCAGTGTCATTATCACCATAATAAATAATTAGGTTGTTGCCTAATAATATCCCACTGGAAGTGTGTATATGTAAGCATCTGTTAATGAACAAACGTCAGATGATTCAGATATTTCAGATATTTTGTTCAGGTAAATACTCATTCAAGTCTCTCAGTGGGGCCAAGATATAACATCTAAGATTTCTGAATCAACTTCTGAAGTAATTGTCAATTTTTCTGTAATTGTATCTTATAAGATCTGAGATACTCCTGTGCTATAGAGAGCCTGCCATTTCTGATGGCACAGCAGCCCATGTATCACTGGGTCTGTTTGAACCAGAGAGCGAACACACCCGTGATGAAGGAAAAAGGTGAGGGAGAATTGGGAAGCCTGGGCAAGTTTGGGTAGCAATTGACAATAATGTTCCTTTTCTTCTGTATTTTCCACCACTCGTTTTGATGATCACAGGCAGTTAGAAAGGCTGCAGCAACACGAACAAATCTCAGAACAGTGGGTTTGTTTTTTTAACTTGCAAGACAGTTCGAATTCCATTTATGGTACCTTGGCAGTACAGGTCAACCCTACTTGGATCCCAGTTTAGGCTACAAACTCTTGAAGACGTGCAGTCGTACTGCGTTCAGTCACAGTCGGTATGTCCGGCCCCTTTCACAGTAGCATCCCATCATGTCTGGAGCTTACTATAATGCAAATAAGTAACAGGTTTGCCCACCCTCACTAATGAGCTGGTTTCTTTGGAGCAGGGAACAATAATAATCCCTAGCCTAGCGTGAGGAATGCTTTGACCTTTTGAAGGTTGTGGGTTTGATCTGCAGGCCATATTGTACTGTCAGTCTTCACGTGGTGGAAATTAAGTACTGGGTGATTGGCAGGGCTTCTGTAGAAGGCAGCAAACCTGCCTCCTTCAGATATTGATCCTGGGAGCAGTGCAACCTGTCACGTAAAATCTGTTTGTCTCAGTGCAGCCTTTCTGTAAACAAGTCTGATATTTTGAACCTCTAGGATTGTAATAAGCGTCCTTGGAACAGGATCTGATTTCTGCCCAAAGGTGATGCTGTTACTCTCCTGCTCTAATATTCCACCATATTTGCAAATACTGGAAATCTCCTACTATGGCAAAACCCTCTTGCATCATGTGTGATACAACATTTATCAGTATGCAAGGAAAGTATACATGTATGTAATAAACTGCTCTGTTCTTTAGCATTTTATATGTGTATATATAAAAGTAAAACCAAGAACATTTACAGTCTGCCCAAGCTGCACTTGTTTTTCCTGTCGTTGTTTACATCTTAAGCAAAGTGACAATCTGACCTTCACATATTACTTCACCAAGCTGGCTGTTTTAATATCTGCGAGACAAGTAGGGTGTGTTAGTTTTCACCTCCTTGCAGTACCTTTTTATATATGGTGCTTTTCAACTGCATATTGTAAATACGAGGGATCTTCTAGATAATTTCTCTTGACGGGCAGGTATTTTGTGCATGTAAACCTAACTCTGTTACATAATTCTTCTTGTTTATTACCACAGGAGAAGAAAACTTGCTGGCAATTTTGAAAAGGAGATGGTGGAAGTACATGATCCTGGGGATAATAGATATAGAAGCCAATTACCTGGTAGTCAAAGCTTATCAATACACCACTCTTACTAGTGTACAGGTAAGGACTCAAAGGATCTTCCCTTTTGTGGTAAGATAATAGGTCTAATGGGGTCAATGGTGCAGTGTCCATTGGCATCAGTGCACTAATAGCTCGTCGCTGCCTCTGTCTTCTGTGTACTTTTTAATGCTGTCTCATAAGACATGTTTTTTCATATTGGACTATTTTTATTACTCAGTATTTTCCAAACTGTACAAAACCATACTGGCTTTCATTTCATTTTCCTGTGCTAAACCATTCATAATCACATGGCATTATCTACTTAATTTGGTCCTTTAAGGAAATATTTTCAGATGGGCTGAAATGGTTTTCTCACTTTACATTGTACTTGGAAAAAATACAGGCACTTCTTTTAGGATTCCAAAATTAGATCTGAGTACAGAAGTGTGGTGGGTTGACCCTGGCTGGAGGCCAGGTGCCCACCAAAGCCACTCTATCACTCCCCTCCTCAGCTGGACAGGGGAGAGAAAATGTAACAAAGGGCTCATGGGTCGAGATAAGGACAGGGAGAGATCACTCACCAATTACTGTCATGGGCAAAACAGACTCGACTTGGGGAAAAATTGGTCTAATTTATTACCAATGAAATCAGAGTAGGATAATGAGAACTAAAAACTAAATCTTAAAACACCTTCCCAGCACCCTTCCCTTCTTCCCAGGCACAGCTTCTCTCCTGAATTCTCTCCCTCCTCCCCCCAGCAGCGCAAGGGGATGGGGAATGGGGATGGGGGTCAGTTCATCACACGTTGTCTCTGCCGCTCCTTCCTCCTCAGGGGGAGGACCCCTCACTCTTCCCCTGCTCTGGCAAGTGGTCCCTCCCATGGGAGACAGTCCTTCATGAACTTCTCCAACATGAGTCCTTCCCACGGGCTGCAGTTCTTCATGAACTGCTCCAGCGTGGGTCCTTCCTGTGGGCTGCAGTCCTTCAGGAACAGACTGCTCCAGTGTGGGTCCCCCACGGGGCCACAGGTCCTGCCAGGAGCCTGCTCCAGTGTGGGCTTCCCACGGGGTCACAGCCTCCTTCGGGCATCCCCCTGCTCCGGCGTGGGGTCCTCCCCGGGCTGCAGGTGGAGATCTGCTCCACTGTGGACCTCCCTGGGCTGCAGGGGGACAGCCTGCCTCACCAGGGTCTTCCCCATGGGCCGCAGGGGAATCTCTGCTCCGGCGCCTGGAGCATCTCCTCCCCCTCCTTCTGCACTGACCTGGGGGTCTGCAGGGCTGTTTCTCTTACATGTTCTCACTCCTCTCCTGGCTGCAATTGCGCAGGTTTTTTTTCTTTCTTAAATCTGTTCCCCAGAGGTGCTACCACCGTCACTGCTGGGTTCAGCCTTGGCCAGCCATGGGTCCGACTTGGAGCCGGCTGGCGGTGGCTCTGTCCGACATGGGGGAAGCTTCCAGCAGCTACTCAGAGAAGCCACCCCTGTACGCCCCCTCGCTACCAAAACCTTGCCACACAAACCCAGTACAGGATTTTTAGGATTCCATAACTAGATCTGAGTGCAAAAGTTGTCATTAAGTAAAATGAATGTAGTTATAACGAAGTCTTACTTTAACGCAAGCAGTTAGATGTGTTATGTTATGTAACAGCTTAACTGCAGCTATCAGAAAGTGTACTCTCCCTTAAAAAATTATACATGCAGTGAACAAAAGCTAGGGTAGCAATTTCTCCAAAGATCCAACCTGTATAATTTAAATACAAAACACAAAAGAATCAATCTTCTTCCCATTTCAGTGGAGAAGTGAATATTAGAAACCTTTTTAAGAGACTGGAAATTGTCTGTCTTGGGAAATCATTGCATACTTCATTGCTACTTGTTCGAAAACAAACCTACTCCCTTTTTACACTGTCTCTAAATAACTGGGCAACACTAGGTAGCGTTCAGTGTATTTTACACCTTTCTTGCCTGAAGTTTACATTAGAGCCAGTAAAATAGAGGAGCACCAGTTAATGTTCTGCAGAATCGAAGCTAATTAGGAATATATCTCTTCCATAGTTGAAAAGTGATATTGGAAAATACTGAGCTTGTTTAGCTGAGTAAGAAGCAAAACCAGAAGAAAACTGAATTCAAGGAATCTGAATGTGAGGTTGATGCTAAATATTCACAAATGACTCTGCCATCAGAATCTTGGTTTGAGAATTCTTTGAAACGTGCCCAGACAATGTAATATTGCTTTTAACACTTTTCCAAATCAGATTACTCAGTATAGAGCAAAGCATAAATCCACATAAACCTCACACTGTCTGATTTTATAGCTACTAAAAGCCTCAAAGAGAAAAGCAAAAGCTAAATTGCTTCTTTTGCATGTGCACTCATAGCAAGTAGGAATAACGGACTGAGCAAGATGATCCAGGTCATTAAATCCTGTCTCCCACAGCCACCAACAAGCACGTATCAGAGGTTCATCTGGCAGGACCCACAAAACACCGATTCCAGAAGATGCAAACCCTCCCGCTCTTCTGCAATGAGCACGGCCTTTAGTGTGAGAGATGAAAAACTACAGTGTGAGGAGGGAGCAGGCAAGAGAGTTCAAGGGCATTGCCTGTGTGTCGGCAGGGAATTAGCTGAAATGAGCCACGGTCTCTTTTTAGACTGAGAGAGAGAGGAAGGGTGGAACAGGAGAAGTGTCATAGGGCAGAGACAGTGTCATGTCCATTTTAGACCTCTTCCACAAAAAGATTACAACGGAGTTCAGGTCTCTTTCTCACATAGCTTGAAAGAAGGAAGAGAGAGAAGCTCAGATGCCGTCAAGCTTTTTTCCAGGAGTAAAAGGAAAGAAGTGTCTCCTTTTCCCATAGTTGTCCTGGATTGCTCGGATACACATGGTGTGACTGGGAATACCTGTTGCATTTTAAATTCACTTCGTGCCTTAATTTGAATGAGCTTCTAAGTGTAGACAAGGCCAAAGATACAGAGAATGGGATGAGTATGAGGTAATGCATTAAGATGTTGAATCAAATGACACATTTTTTGAAATGTAGCCAAACAACACGCTATTTCATTTAAAGATGAAACAGAAGAAGCCTGAAACAGCATTGGTCAAAGTGCATAATGGGATGAAATGAAGACTGAAGAAATGGAAAGTAAAAGATGAAAAAAACCCAAGCTTTTCCTAGAATCTGATTTCTGAAGAAGCAAGCAGGACCACTCTCTCAAGAGCATCTTCTGAAAGGCCTGATCCAGCAAGAGCGCTACCTCTGAGGCCATAAATGTTCACTGACACGTAGCAAGAAGTATTCGGATCCTTTTAGAACTGAGACCTGAGACCATTGCTATCTACCACAAATCAGCACGGCTTTGACTGAAGGCTGTGGGAGCTATGCTGATATATACATTGATTGAGAATCAAGCCACTCAAGTCAATTCCAGGGGATTTTATTCTCAACAGGTTTTACACCAAGGCTTTTTTGTGTGGGAGAATATAAGAGGTTTTGAAATTGTCGCTTCAGTAAATGAGAAATCTTGCAGTATTTTTATAGTGGTGGTACATGGACCATTTTAGTAGGAAATCAGTTTTACAACTTACACTTTTTTTCCACATGATATCTTTGCTCTGTCATGCAAAACTAACATGCGAGTGTACTGGACTTGTGGTGCTTTTAGGCAAAAAACATTAAGCTGCTCCCAACAAAAAGCCAAAGTTTAGCTGTAAAAATATACCTTTATTGCAATTGATTTGCAGTTCTGCTTTCACCAAAAAATTCCAAGCACTCAACAGCTTTGTTTGCTGAGTAGCTTTAAACTCTTAGGACTCTCAAAGTTTCTAGTTTAAACTCCATCTTTTTTTGTAATTGACATTATCTCATCATGGTTCCTGGAAAAGACCGAAAATCGTGCCTACTTTTCCCACTGTTTCACACCCGAGTCTTTCCTATACTTGCCTTTAAAACTCCCATTTGGTTTTGGTCTGGGAAAATAGAATTTTCTAATAAACCTTCTTATACGTCTTTCACCAGATGCCTTCAGAACCACAGTGAACGAGGCCACAAAGGCAAAAATCAGAAATGAATATGGTACCTAACCTTTACTTTTGGGTGTGCTTCTGATTATTTCAAATCCTCATGTACTCTATAGTTACTGTCTGAGAACGTGGCACTCAGCTCCATCATAACATAAAAACAAAGTACTGTGAAGCCTAGAAACGCATAATTTTCCCTGTTAAAAAAAAAAAAAAACAAAAAAAAAACCAACCAAAACAAACACCCAAAACCTAAAAGTAGAAGACCTCCCTTATAAACTAGGTGACATAAAAAAATTTGATTGAAAACCAATACACGGTTCGTGTTTCAGACATCAAGGTGTAGGTCAATTGCTAAGGATAAAATGCAAAGTACCCTTTAGGTACCTGCAGTGCAATCCTGGGACAACTAGATTTAATAGAACAATCCAAGAAACCCACACCTAATTGTGTACATACCTAAAATGTCATAGACATCTAACATCCCCTGGTCTGTGGGTACTAACCTGCTGCTCAGAGCACAATCTTGGGACATGAGAACATGTGTTTGAACCTCTCAGGTTGCTCCTTCTTTGGTAGCTTTAAGTTCTGGTTCTTTGCATGCCCAGAGTGCTTCTGTATTGATGGAGACAGATGCCTGAATACCTGCCTCCATTTTAAGATTCAAAAGCTAAGTATGCCTACATCAAAGTACCCTGAGGAACTCAATTTGTTTGATGTGATCTGAGCATGCCTCAAGTGCTTACAGAAAGCCTGGAGTGTTTTCCAAATTGCAGGGGTAAAGCTACCTTTTACATAAAGTCATAGCTGTTAAAACAGTAGCCCACAGAAAGGGCTTGAGTTAACTCCATCTTAGCTGGGGAAATGGAAACTCAAGCTTCCCACAGCCATGAAAATGCTCAGGCTAGGAGTAAGTGAACACTGTTCTCTAGAGGGTACCTTTAAAAACTGAGTATACACCAGGTAAAAGGCACAGTAGTTTGTTGGTGGATCAATTTGATATCCAAAACCACATATTTCAAGAAGTGCCAGAGATCAGTCAC